CTACTCTGAAAGGTAATGTTTTAACAGGGTGCCAAGAGTCTCCCCCCAAAAAAGTTGATTCCAAATGCCTCCTGAGACTTATTTCATGCCACAGTTGAAAATGGAGGGAGGAGGAATACTCAGCCAGGAAAGAGAAGTAATTCCTGCTATTTGCAAGAACAGGGGTAGAACTTGAGGACATAATGCAAGGAAAAAGCCACACAGACAAGTACTGTATGGTGTCATTTATATGTGGAATCTTTAAAAAAAAAAAAAAGTCAAACTCATAAAAACAGAGTGGAAAAGTGGTTTCCAGGGTTGGGAAGTGGTGGTCAGTAAAAGAAAGAGGGAGTTAAAAGGATATAAACTTTCAGCTCTAAGGTGAATGAGGTCTGAGGATCTAATGTAAAACATGATGGCTATCTAGAGTTGAGAACACTGTATTGTATAATTAAAATTTGCTAGGAGAGCAGAACTTAAATATTTTCATCAAGGAAAAAAGATAAATATGAGAGGTGATGGATGGATGGATGTGTTAATTAACAGGATGGGAGGGGTCTTTTCATGATGTGTACTTGTATCAAATCATCACGATGTACACTTTAAATATCTTACAATTTTATATGCCAATTATACTTCAATAAAGCTGAATTTAAGAGAGAAAATATATATATAATGACCAATTGGAATTCATCAAAAGTAAACATTTTTGCTTTTTAAAAGACAGTATAAAGGAAAATGGAAAGGAATGTTGCAGGATGTAGTAACTGTGGGGAGAATTATTTAGTTTCTAAAGGAGATCAGGTGATAAGACAGGCAGTTCCTAGGAGACTGAATGCACTGACCACAGATCATTGTTGTCAGGTGGAGGTCTCTTTGAAACTGGGAAGGAGTCTGCACACAGCACCGCCATGGGAGAGTTAACTCAGAAGTGAGGTGCGGGCAACAGGTGTGGCCTAGGCACTGTGGCAGAGCACAAAGATGAGAACCAGGATGCCAGCTAGGGAGGCATGAGCAGCTCTGAGGAGGAGGAGAAACAGCTTCTGGCAGAACTGGGAAGGAAGGAACTAGACCCTGGTCCCTCCTCCGTGAGCCCTTCTCTCTGCCCTACATTGCAAGGAACTTCTTTGCATCTCTCAGCCTCCTTCCTTATCTTTCACATTTTCTCTCCCTTTCCCATATTTCTTTCTTTCTTGGACCACTTTGCTTGCCCACTTCTCTTGTCTTCATGCCTGTTCCTTACATGGTAATAACATAGGAAAAGCAGTACGTTAGTACCTTTGCTTTTAATATGTGTGCTTCCTACTCTCTTTTCTAACTATAGTTACTATGCAACAAACAGTTTCTATTCCCCCCTCCAAAAAACCTGTAGTTACCTTTCTGTATATTTTTCTCCAATTCCGTGATCTAATTTTTTTTCAGCAAAGACTTTATTTTTGTATTTTATTTTTTATTATGTTCAGTTACCAACGTATAATACATCATTAGCTTTTGATGTAGTGTTCAATGATTCATCAGGTGTGTATAACACACAGTGCTCATCACAACACATGCCCTCTTACTACCCATCACCCAGCTACCCCATCCTTCAACCCCTCCCTTCTGCAACCCTCAGTTTTTTCCCTGGAGTCCAGAGTCTCTCATGGTTTGTCTCCTTCTCTGATTTCTTCCCATTCAGTTTTCCCTCCCTTCCCCTATGGTCCTCTGCCATATTCCTTATGTCCCACATACGAGTGAAACCATATGATAATTGTCTTTCTCTGCTTGACTTATTTCACATAGCATAATACCCTCCAGTTCTATCCGTGTCAATGCAAATGGTAGGTATTCATCCTTTCTGATGGCTGAGTAATATTCCACTGTATATATGAACCACATCTTCTTTATCCAATCCTCTGTTGAAGTACATCTTGGCTCCTTCCACAGTTTGGCTATTGTGGACATTGCTGCTATGAACATTGGGGTGCAGGTCCCCTTCTTTTCAGTACATCTGTATCGTTGGGGTAAATACCCAGTAATGCAATTTCTGGGTCATAAATAGCTCTGTTTTTAATGTCCTGAGATAACTCCATACTGGTTTCCAGAGTGGCTGTACCAGTTCGCATTCCCACCAACAGTGTAAGAGGGTTCCCTTTTCTCCACATCCTTGCCAACATCTGTCTTTTCCTGATTTGTTCATTTTAGCCATTCTGACCAGTGTCAGGTTGTATCTCATTGTGGTTTTGATGTGTGTTTCCCTGATGCCGAGTGATGTGGAGCATTTTTTCATGTGTCTGTTGGTCATTTGTGTGTCTTCTTTGAAGAAGTGTCTGTTTATGTCTTCTGCCCATTTCTTGACTGGGTTATTTGTTTTTTGGGTGCTGAGTTTGAGAAGTTCTTTATAGATCTTGGATACTAGCCCTTTATCTGATATGTCATTTGCAAATATCTTCTCCCATTCCATGGGTTTCCTCTTGGTTTTATTGACTGTTTCCTTTGCTGTGCAGAAGCTTTTTATCTTGATGAAATTCCAAAAGTTCATGTTTGCTTTTGTTTCCCTTGCCTTTAGAGAGGTGTCTTGAAAGAAGTTGCTGTGGCCAAGGTGGAAGAGGTTGCTGCCTGTGTTCTCCTCTATGATTTTGATGGATTCTTGTCTCACATTGAGGTCTTTCATCCATTTTGAGTTTATCTTTGTTTTAGATAAAGATTTCCTAAATTCTAAATACCCTATAAAATAGTAACATGTCGTGTGGCCTTATTTCTAGAAACATTCTTTCAGGATATTCCATTTTTTGGACACAGTAAGGAATATAAGCTGGGATTGAGAAACTATGGCTGTCTTCCTTCCAACATGAAGATAAATTGTCATTGACCCATGCAACTGGGGAAAAAACTAACCTTAATTGTCAGCAGAACCAGAGATAAAACATCATTTCATCTTGATTCACATAGCTCTGTCAAAAGCAGTGTAATGTGAACTCAGTGCATTGATTATGATGCTTTCTTAAGAAGAACCTAATAAAGAAAGAAAAGCCAAAAGCATGACTTAAGTAGTAAGAAGAGGAATATAATAAACATATATGAGGAGCATTAGGATAAGGGCTTTCACATTCCTCAACATATAAGTGGTAATACACAAAGGAAGGAAAGTACTAGAAGGTAATGACCATCAAGCACATATTGCATGAAAGAGTGGCACCATATTTTGAATGAAGGATTCAGGAATGGACAGTATTCTAAGAAGAAAATTACCTAAAAACAGCAACATCCATGTCTCTTGCACAGGACTAACTAAACTAAAGCTCAAGAATATGTACACTTAGACTTGAGTGTATCAACTGTTCACTATCTGTCCCAACACTGCAATCAACCTGTAAGTTTAGTGTCACTGCCAATAGTTGGCTAGTGAAAAGTTAATTTCTGATATAAGAATATTGGTTACAGATGAGTGAAAGTTACATATCAAAAGAGGGAATTGGCATCTGCCACCTTCTCCCCATGGCCTTCACAGCCCCTTTGATGTCTTTATTCCTCAGTGTGTAAATTACAGGGTTTAGCATGGGGGTAACAACACTATACAATAGGGAGATTAGTCTGTTTTTCTCCAGTGAGTAAGATGAGATGGGCCGCACATATGTGAAGATGGTGCTGCCGTAGTAGAGAAGGACAATGAACAGGTGTGAAGCACAGGTTGAAAAGGCCTTTTGCCTCCCCTCTGAGGACTGGATCCTCAAGATGGTAGAGATAATAGAGAGGTAGGAAAGGACGATGCCCAGGAAAGGAGCCCACCCGATGAAGACCCCAATGGAGAGCAATGCCAACTCATTTACAGAAGTGTCCCCACAAGACAACAGCAGCAAAGGGGGGATGTCACAGAAGAAATAATGAATCTGGTTGTTGCCACAGAAGGGCAGGCGGAAGGTAAGTGCTGTGTGCACGACTGAGTTGAAGAAACCCCCAGTCCAGCATGAGGCGGCTAACTGGCCATACAGGGCCCTGTTCATAATCACTGAGTACCTGAGGGGTTTGCAGATTGCAATGTAACGGTCATATGCCATGGCTGCCAGGAGGAGACACTCTGACCCTACAAAGAAAATGAAGGCAAAAATTTGAGCCACACATCCTCCATAAGAAATGCTCTTCTTCTCTGATAGGAGATGCACCATCATCTGGGGGACATTGGTGGTGGTGTAGCAGATGTCAAGAAAGGCCAAATTCCTCAGAAAATAGTACATGGGAGTACGTAGATGTGGATTAGCCATGGTCACCAAGATAATGAAGAGATTTCCTCCCAGAGTACAGATATAAGTCATAAGGAATACTGTGAAGAGTAGAACTTGCAAATCATTTAGGTTGGAGAATCCCAAGATGATGAATTCAAACAGAGCTGTTTGATTCTTTCCTTCCATGATGTTACCCACTTCCTTTTGGGGGATTAGGCAAAGAGAAACTCAGATTACAATAATCCTATGCTGCGGTAGCAATGGTCTGCAAAACAAGGGAACAAGTGTTACAGAGGACAGTCATTACCGTGCACATCAGATTCCAACCCAGAAGCGCAGCATCCTCCAGAGCTCATACCTACCACCGAACACAGACATAAGTGATCCAGTGTTTCACTTGTAAATAAAATCTCAAAAATACACAATACAGACAGTATTTAATTAGAAAAAAAATCACAAGAGGGCACCGTACACCCTACGAGTTCCGTATTAATAATGGCTGGGTCAGTTCCACCTGCAATCATCCTGGTGACATGTGAACACGAGTTGCAGAACACAGAATGTGCAAGAATCTCCGAGCAAAAACCCTTAATGTCTCCACCAAAGAAAGAAAACATCCACTAATAATTTGGTGTATGTCCTTCTAATCAGTTTTCCATGCATAAATATTTAAAAGTAGGTTCAGAGAGTACACATTCTAACCTGTTTTTTCCTCAAGCACCATATTGTGATAAATTCTCATGGCCATAAATATTCTCCTAAAACATGATGTTTGGGTTATATACAAGTCTTCATAAGAATACAGCAAACTTTTTTTTTTAAAGATTTATTTATTTATTTGACAGAGAGAGACACAGCGAGAGAGGGAACACGAGCAGGGGGAGTGGGAGAGGGAGAAGCAGGC